TGTGACTGGAAGTCTGTTTCCAGTGGAGTTCTGCAGGGTTCGATGCTGCAGCCCTTGCTGTCTGTGGTGTACATCAATAATTTGGACCGTAATATGAAGGGTATGATCAAGAAGTTCATGAATGGGTGGTAAATAGTGAGGAGGATAGCCATATACTGCAGGATCTAATAGAGGTGTATAAGATTGTGATGAGAATAAACAGTGTGGATTGGACGGTACTTTTTTCCATTAGTAGCGATTAGTAACTGGGGACATAGATTTACAGTGAGAGGTAGAAGGCTAAGAGGAAATTTGAGGATTTTATTTAGCTCAGAGAGTGATGAGAGTGTGGAACTCACTGTCTGAAACAATGCTTATGTCAGAAACTCCCAGACATTTGAGCAGGCCTCCTCCATTGGTCCCCAGCATTACAGATACAATTATTCAGCCAATTCAATTCACTCCACATAATATCAAGAAATAGTTGGAGACACTGGATATCGCAAAAGCTACGGGCCCTGACAACATTCCGGCAATAGTACTGAAGACTTGTGCTCCAGAACTTGTTGCTCCCCTATCCAAGCTGTTCCAGTACAGTTAACACTGGTATCTACCCGACAATGTGGAAAATTGCCCAACTATGTCCTCTACACTAAAAGCAGGAAGAATCCAACGCAGCAAATTAGCGCACCATCAGTCTGCTCTTGATCATCAGTAAAGTGATGGAAAGTGTTATCAACAGTGCTATCAAGCAGCACCTGCTCAGCAATAACCTGCTCAGTGACGCCCAGTTTGGGTTCTGCCAGGGCCACTCAGCTCCTGATCTCATTACAGCCTTGGTTCAAACATGGACAAAAGAGCTGAATTCCAGAGGTGAGGTGAGGGTGACAGCTCTTGCTATCAAGGCTGCATTCAACTGAGTGTGCATCAAGGAGCCCGAGTTAAACTGGAATCAGTGGGTATCAGGGCGCAAACTCTCCGGTGGTTGGAGCGATACCTGACACGTAGGAAGATGGTCGTGGTTGTGGAGATCAATCGTCTCAGCTCCAGGACATCTTTGCAGGAGTTCCTCAAGGTAATGTCCTAGGCCCAACCATCTTCAGCTGCTTCAATGACCTTCCCTCCATCATAAGGTCAGAAATGGGGATGTTCACCGATGATTGCACAATGTTCAACACTATTCATGACTCCTCAGATACTGAAGCAGTCCATGTTCAAATGCAACAAGATCTGGACAATATCCAGGCTTGGGCTGACAGGAAGCAAGTGACATTCGCGCCACACCAATGCCAGGCTATGTCCATCTCCAATAAGAAACAATCTAACAACCATCCCTTGACATTCAATAGTGTTACCATCACTGAATCCCCCACTATCAACATCCTGGGGGTTATCATTGACCAGAAACTCAACTGGACTTACCACATAAACACAGTGACTACAAGAGCAGGTCAGAGGCTAGGAATACTGTGGTAAGTAACTCACCTCCTGACTCCTCAAAGCCTGTCCACCATCTATAAGGCACAAGTCAGGAGTATGATGGTATAGTCCCCACTTGCCTGGATGAATGCAGTTCCAACAACACTCAAGAAGCTTGACACCTATTGAGGACAAAGCAGCCCGCTTGATTGACACTACATCCACAAGCATCCACTCCCTCCACCACTGACACTCGGTAACAGCAGAAGATGCATGCAGCATCTACAAGATGCATGGCAGAATTTCAAAGATCCTCAGACAGCAGCTTCCAAACTCACGATCACTTCTATCTAGAAGGACAAGGGCAGCAGACATATGGGAACACCACCACCTCCAAGTTCTCCTCCAAACCACTTATCATCCTGACTTGGAACTATATTGCTGTTCCTTCACTGTCGCTGAGTCAAAATCCTAGAATTGCCTCCCTAATGGCATTGTGGGTCAACCTACAGCACATGGACTGCAGTGATTCAAGAAGACAGCTCACCACCACCTTCTCAATGGCAACTAGGGACAGGCAATAAATGCTAGCCAACCAGCGATGCTCGCATCCCACAATTGAATAAATAATTTAAAAAGTATTTAAACTTTCATAACACAGTGTGGAGCTGGAGGTACACAGCAGGCCTGGCAGCATCAGAGGAGCAGGAAAGCTGACATTTCGGGTCGGGACCCTTCTTCAGAAATGGAGGAGGGGAATGGGGCTCTGAAATAAATAGAGAGAGGGGGTGTTGGGCTGGGAAAGATAGGTTGGATGGTGATAGCAGGTAGATAGTGGTGGGGATTGGTTAGTGAGGTGGGAGGACCGGATAGGTGGGAGAGAAGATGGACAGATCAAGGAGGTGGGGATGAGAGGGGAGTCTGGTCTGGGGATGAGGCTGGGGGTCGGGAGATTTTGAAGCTAGTAAGGTCCAGATTGAGACCATTGGGCTGCAGGGCTCCCAAGCGAAATATGAGATGCTGTTCCTGCAGCCTCAGGGTGGCATCATTGTGACACTGGAGGAGGTCCAATATGGACACGTCGTCCAGGGAGTGGGAGGGGGAGTTGAAGTGGTTCGCGACTGGGAGGTGTTGTCGTTTGTCGCGAACCGAGTGTAGGTGTTATTTCAGACTCCAGCATTGGCAATTCTTACTATCTCTATTTAAACTTTCATTTGTCTTGCCATAACCTTCAGGTGTAGGGGCCAAAAACTGGAAAATGTTGTTGAAACTTTGTCTACCAGTACAGAAATGATGGGCCAAATGGCTTCCATCTGTCTGGTAAACATCTATGAGTTCTTCATTGGTTTGGAACACACTGCTTTTAGCCTTCTTCACAATTCCTACAGACTGCACAAGTCTTTGTTTTTTTTGTCAATTTTCCGCATTTGCCCACTCTCTTAAAAGCATTAACTGTTGGTCATGATTCTTCAGTTATTTTCCCAAACTTTGCCCATAATGCAATTATTTAGAGGGAAACCTTAGCAATGATTGTTGAGCCTATTAGGCCACCTTTTTAAAAAAAAAGGACATCCAAACAAGCTGCCAGTGGGAGCAAATTACTGCAGATGCTGGAATCTCTACTGAAAATAACATATGCTGCAGATCACAGCTGGTCAGACAGCATCCACGAAGAGAGAGCAAACTGACATTTCGAGTCTAGGGTGACTCTTCATTAGAGCTGAAGTGAAGTGTGGAGGGGACAGCATTTATGCTAAAGTTATGGGGGGCGGGGGGGATGTGAGGGTGGTGAGGTGTAAAGTGCTGGTGGAGAAAAGATGTTGATAGTTCAGATTAAGTGATCAGAATGTGAGAATGGCAGAACAATGGTGTGTCTAACTGCCAGACGTGAAACAGCAGACAGTCCCACTGGGGCAATGGGAGGGAAGAGAGGACATAGTCACAGGCAATGTAACAAGCAAAACTAAAAGAAAGGGAATAAATGGAATAACACAATGCGGAGCTGGAAGAACACAGCAGGCTAGGCAGCATCAGAGGAGCAGGAAAGTTGACCTTTCTGGTCAGGACCCTTCTTCAGAAAAGTGTCCCGACACAAAACATCAACATTGTGTCATCTCTGACTCTAGCATCTGCAGTTCTTGCTATCTCTGAGGGAAGAAATGGGAGCTGGTTCACAATTTAAACGTATTGAACTCAGTACTACGTCCAGTAGGCTGTAAAGTGCTGAGTCTGAAGATGAGATGTTGCCCTCCAGTTTTCACTGTGATTCACTGGAGCATTGCAGCGTGCCGAGGACAGACAGAGGGCATGTGAGCAGGACGCTGCGTTAAAATGACCAGTTACAGGAAGGTTGGGGTCCCGCTTGCGCACAGACCAGAGGTGTTCTGCAAAGCGGTCACCCAGTCTGCATTTGGTTTCTCCAATGTAGAGTAGGCCACATTGGGTGCAGCAAATACAATACACAAGATTGGAGGAGGTACAGGTGAAATGCTGCTTCACCCGGAAAGACTGTTTAGGCCGTTGGATGGTGAGCAGGGAGGAGGTGAAGGGGCAGGTGTTGCCCCTTCTGTGGTTACATAGGAAGGTGCCGTGGGAAGCAGGGGTGGTGTTAGTAGTTGTGGAATGGATTAGGGTGTCCCAGAGGGAACGCTCCCTGCGAAATGCAGACAGGGGGATTGGGGGAAAGGTGTATTTGGTGGTGACATTCTGCTGGAGTTATCTGAAATGGCAGAGAATGATCCTTTGAATGCAGAGGCTGGTGGGATGAAAAGTGAGGACAAGAGGAACCGGATCACAATGTTGTGAGTGATGGGAAGGGGCAAGGGTGGAGGCACAGGTGATAGGTCGGATGCGGTTGAGGGCCCTGTCAACCACAGTGGGTGGGAAACCACGGTCACAGAAGAAGCAAGCCATGTCAGCTGTTTTAGAAGGTGGCATCATCAAATAAATGCAACGTAGGTGAAGGAGAATAGGATGGAGTCCTTGCAGGACGTGGTGTGTAAAGCTGCCAGTAGGGGTCAGCACTGGATGGCAAACAGCTAGGGAGACCAAAGAGTTTCTTAAACCCACCCATCTGAAATCAATAGTCACTACAACCTCCAGACATGGACCTCTGTATATTTTTTCTCTCTCTCTTTTGGTTCACATGACTCTCATACTATTTCTGATAAGTTAGCACAGTGATTAGGAAAAGAAGGGAGGGACTATGAAATTCTGATTGTTCAATTATAAGGTAATGCTGATGGGGTCGACAGGTCAAACATGGTATGAAATCTGAATCCACCTTTAAAGTGATTCAAGATTGTGTTTCCAGCTTTTTTCGTAACAATGCAGGTAATTGTGAACTGGGGACAGATGCTCCTTCCTCTTGCTTCATTCCACCAATATCTTGAAATGGTGGACAATTCTCTAGATATTCATTAGATGTACCCGTGTGATTTATCAGAGGAAATACATACTAGAATTATAGCTTTTATTATATTAAAATCTAACCTTCAAAATATTAGGACACAATCCATTCTGCAACACACAAAAAGGACAACTTTTTAAAAAATACCTTTTAAAGATATATTTATTTTGTAAAAATATGACTGAACACATACCTGGAGACTCACAGTGTCCCAAACATGCTTGCTGAAAAGCTTTCTTCCTACAGGGGAGGATGTGTTTGGCTAATTGCTCTGTATCTGTCTCTGTCTTCATGACTTCCTCAAACCCAGGCCCAGTGTCCTTATCTGGTTCTGTCATGGTCCCACCAACAGTTACAGATCTAGTTTGGCTGTCATCTCCTGTCTCAGTTCCACCCTCTGCTGCTATTATTGTCCTGTCTTCTGCCTGTATCATTATTACAACTTCTACTCCAGCCCTAAATCGGTCTCTTGTTGTTGCCGTCACAATGTTAGCCTTAGTTGCTGCACTTGCCAATGTCCCAGTTCTAGTTCTTCCTTCTTCCTCTATTACAGTCGCTACTGGAGCTCCACTTGATGCGGCTGTCCTTCTGCATTGTCTTCTGGGTAAGTTCTGCCACCTTGCAACAACAGGGCTGCTACTGGCAACTGGACTGGGCAGCTCCCATTTCATCCTGTTCCCTGTGGTACTGGTTTTGAGTAAAGAACCCATCAGCTTTCCTCTTTCTGCCGCCTGAAAATCAAGTACAGAGAAAGAGAGAAAGAATATATGTCAAAAGGAAATGGAGACAAATTTTAAAACATGGAAAACTGCAGGAAGAGTCTTAGAGAAACAGTGTGGGACTTGCAAACGTCAGATGTGATGCGCCATAGTGTCATATTAAAGACTCAGGAGCAAAATGGTTTAGTGTGGACAACATGATTTCAGTCCTTCCCTGTGACATTATAGTCTCTTTTATTTTTGGGAATAGAAATCATGGCGCAGGGGTTCCCCAAATCTTGAAGCCCGGGCAATTTTAATTCCTGACCCTCATCTTAATGTTCCCTCAAAAAATCTGCAGATTTCAGCGTGGGATGTCCAAGATATTCCAGCAGTTAGGGATAACTAAGGCAAGACCCAGCTCAAGTCTTCAGTATATATCACTGCTGCTACAAAAGGACCACCAAACCCTGAAACAATGATCAGGGCAGACCACCATGAGTACCCTGTTATACCGAGTCCCCAGACAGGATCCCAAGTTCATGACAGTTTTGGTGAAATACCCCAAAATAGTTATGCTAACAGGTGAGGAGGGATAAGCTGGATCCCCTTCTTCAATCAACTCTCCCTCCGTTGATCGCAATAAGGTTACATTAAAAATAATCCCCTCCGTCATCGTTAAATTTACTCAGGCTGCAAAAAGTTATGTTTAAAAGGAGTCAATTTTTTTAAAAAGCTTCCTTGAGTTCAAAAAAAATTGATTTTGTTAGCTAGTTAAACACTAGACAAGATAATAAAATGTGACATACAGAGTATAAGTGAGAGGAACAAAAACAGAAGTCGCTGGAAAAGCTCAACAGGTCTGGCAGCATCTGTGAAGAAAAATCAGACTTAACGTTTCGGGTCCGGTGACCCTTCCTCAGAACTGGTGGTAGCTGGGAGAGACAACAAGGTGCAAGGCTGGATGAACACAGCAGGCCAAGCAGCATCATAGGAGCAGAGAGG